ATATCCAGCTCCACCGGGAAAATAAGCCCTTTTCTCGAAATTGCGGCATATTTTGTTGAGGAAACTTCTGAACGTGATTTGCGGTCAAATTTACTATTTCCGAGTTCACCTGTTAAGGCAAAATAGAACTTCATAACTCATTCTGATGCTTCTTCTCCCTCAATTCCATGCCTCATTTCACTCAGTTTTGAATCTACTAAATCATTTTACTGCCCCTCGTACGCAGCTTCTCACGAACAGAGCCTCCTTCAGCAAATGGTTGCGGATGGTCGTGGATCGGGAGAGAGCTGAACCGCAAGTTTTCATACCGAGACACAACGTGCTAGACCACCGAACTTTGTGAACCTCACACTTTCTGGAGCACCTATATTCTGTACGTGTGCCATTCGACTGCACGGCCCTTTGTTTTCTCTAAAGCAGCACACATACTCGTATTTCTTGCTGGCTTTTTGAGGGACTTCCGTGAAAAAAACTTAAAAATCCATTCATGAAAAAAAAAAAAAAAACGCTTCCTTGGGTAGGCCACCAATTTGTGATATCATTTTCAGATATCAACTAGTTAATCACAAACAATGACAGTTAACAACGAAAAAAAAAATGATACAATACTGTGATTTTAACAACAGTAAAACAGTGAATAAACTAAGCCAAACAATCGAAAATTGTTATGCAACAGGGAGTAACTCGGTGCTAAGCCTAGTCTGGACCATTTCAAGACGTGTTTCCAGGATAAGTCGTATATCTTCAGCCAGCTCCCTCAGGCATGTATATCGTACTTTTTTCAGGCTAAATATGTCAACAATGAAAGAGCACATGTGTTCCTGAAAAAGAAATTACGCATTATTATTAACCATTCATCAGATTTCGTTTGGATATTTTCGCTAACTTTTTCACATTCAAATTTAAATTTCAAGAATTTTATTAAATACAAATTTTACACCAAATTATTATACGCAGATTGTTCAATTAATGATGCGGGAATTGCAAAAAAAACTGGTACCACTTAACCACTACTGCGTATGCAGCTCTGGATAAAATATAAAATTCACATTCAAATCGACATATATATAAGCTAACGATGCATTAGTTTTGCTAACTTCTCTATATCACAGGCGGATTCAAGACGGACTCCCAGCAAGGGGGAGGAGGAAAGACGGGGGTGGAAGAGAAAGTGGGGCGGTAAAAGTTGAGGGTCGGGGGGAGGTAGAGAAATCTTCGCTGTCTCCTTCCACCCCGGAACTATGCATAAACTAGGAATAGAGTTGTAACACTGTTTCATAGGGTTATTTTAGTTTTATTTATGCACAGACCCGAGCTTTTGCAGAACTGGCACCTGTGTCGCTAGGAAGGAGGATTGGGGGGAGGGGGCAAAGACCCCCGCCCCTTCCTCTTAGATCCGCCTATGCTGTATACGTTTTGACAACCCCTCTCCTTCAGTTCTTTCTTTCCTCGTTACATTTTTGATAGTAATAACATAACATATTTCTGATATATCCTATTGACGCTACTTATTTCGAGGAACCTGAAACAATTATTCTCGACAGTGCAAACCTTGAAATAGTGGCATAAGTCACGCAAATGCTCGTCTGTTCCCAGAAATCCTAAAGTAATGGTGGGTGAAACTGCTTCCGAAATATCGTAAAAATGTGATATAAATCCATCGGGTACCTGAAAAAAAACAAAAATCGAATTCGTCAACACAAAAACTGATGATTTTATACCCTTTACAAAAAACTTACTCTTTTCTATACCTTTTATCATCTCAAACTTTAGCGGAAAATTCGCGAAAAGCCGGCAATTGTTGAAAGGGCATACTGCACAAGGTGCAACAATCAGTTGGTACTGGGTACGTATGGAAGTGCTACGCATACAGAGTATAGCTAATCCAGTAAAGTGCGTGGAGCGCAAGAGCTGTGTGAAGAGGAGTGGTTCGATAAAACCGATCACGTATCACAATACTAATTCTGAGAGACTAAAAATGCATTGAAAATTTGAATAGCTGCTACTGCATCAACAAAAATGCTCAGGAAACCACTGCGACGATGCAGTACAAACATCAACAGAATTCTAGTACATGTTTAGGACAGTACAGTGTTTCTAACTCGGAGTGATGGGCGTTGGTAAGTCTGTACGCCAAAAAAAACCGGCTGGAGCAGTCGTTTTTCGAGAATGAGAGATAACAGATGGACAAAACGGATTTGATAATAGAGACCAAACAAAGGTAAATGGGTACTGGCACGATCAATGGCAAGATGGCCAAGGATACATTTGAACGCTTACAGTGCTGTGTTAATGTATATTCTGAAAATTAAAGAAAAATGAGATAATTTCTAAAAACATTACCGCAAGCCTTGCGCGTTTTGCTTTAAGCATCGACCAGATCACAGTTGCCAGGGTTGATTCCTTTAAAGATTGGCTTAAAAACATATTTCTTGTAACAGCTAAAACAGCAGAAGGCGGGCGTGAGAATTCCTCAAACGCATCGATTAGGACGTAATCGAGCACAACATCCCAGAAGCCTAATTCTGGGACCTGAAATGAAAACTATTTTTGCAGATAAACGTAAAAAACCGATGAAAATTAATAACGAAAACTATTTTTAAAGTTGGAGGAACCTTACAGGACAAAAGTGCCCATATGTAGCCCGCGTACTTCGAGGATACTTGCAGTGGAACACCAAAATC